TTGGCAAATTTACGTCCAGTAGTTTGCCATTGCTTTCTGGACGGTCGGCTTTCTTGATACCACTGTCGAAACCAACGCAAGGCGCATTGCCCGCAACTGGGATCGAACCCGGCATCCCGGCATTTACATCTGCAAATACTATGCATATGTCTTAAATGAATCAAAAACTCTTCTAAATAAGTAGATGTTTCAACCAAAAAGTGTAGATATTTCAATCAAAAGGTGAAGATATTGCAGCTTTTCTGTTAACAGACACATTTTTTTTCAATAACAATGAGCCACAGGAAGATCATTACCAGTATACAGACAGTACATCTCAGTTAAAAAAAAAATAAGAATGAAAAACCATATTTCAAATAAAACAACACAACTGGAAAAAAAGAGTTTCTCTTGTTCTTCGCTGTTACACCATTAAGACATCTGTATATTTATAGAAAAAAATGTCAGAAACATTTCGGTCTGCTAAAAAAATAAATACTGCCACTATCATCAATCTTACAGATTTAAACATTTTACATAATTTTCATATGCAAGTGTAAATCAACAGACCATTGTCAAATACCTTTTACATTGTTATCATCAAATGCTTTGCTGACTGCTGTGGGGGATCATGTCTCTCCACAATCTGTGATCTTCAACAGCATGCATCAGTTTGTGTGCTGACACCCCTCCCTGCCATGACAGAGGGCTGGCAAGAATCTTCTTGCATTGCCTTCCTCTATCTCTTTTTCCACAGATTTTGCCAATGGTCACAACCTGTTTCAGTTTCCTTCTCATAACATAACGAAACAATGACAACCGCCTCTTTATGATGTTTGTGACATGTTGTCTTTGAGCCCTCGCCTCTTTTAAAATATCTAGGTTGCTCTATTTGGTTGTCCAAGGAATTCTAAGAATTCTTTTGTAAGATCATGTCTGAGGCTTCAAGAAATTACCCTTTACATCCAAACTATATTTTACACACATGTTTAATGTCACACAAAAATTGTCCTGAGCTCAAGGTCGACAATTCTAAATCAGGCACCAGGAAAACTTCTGAGAAATAAAGATGGTAGCATGAAAAAGACTACATCAAACTCCCAGTGCAGAGTGATCTATTTAAAAAAATGAGTCTGAACAGAACGGTTCAGTGAAGAGTGACCAGGGGATCTGGCTGACGCTCAACACTTCTGGAAAAGGCAAGATGAACATGCACTCGAACTGTTACTGGTACCATCAGAATTGGAACTCTGCTACTGAAGATGGGGACAGACTGCTTAATCTCAGTCTTTATGCACACACATAAATTTAGTGTTAATAACATGTCGATGTGGCATAAGAAGAAGTAGACAAATTAAAAGAATTATAAAAAAATATATATACATTTTTTTTCAAGAAAACTGGTGACAGGTCCTTATTATGGAGCCACAGTGGTGTAGCAGTTAGATGCTCACCAGTGTACCGAAGGTTGTCAGTTCAAATCCAAACAAGTCAAAAAAAATTTTTTATGAACTTGTCTTCCAGGTCGACCCAACCTTAAACAGGTATTAGGTAAAGTCCTGGGAGGTAAAAGTGGCTAGCGTGATGCTAACAACATGAAGCATGGAGCCCTGACTTGGTCTATAAAACAGAGTTCTAGCCCTATATGCCCAATATGCCTAAAGGCGTGGAAAAGGGTAATTTAGTTTTTATATTTTTTTTCAAGACATCAATAATTATTTATAAGGAAAATTTTACCCAGCCCTTTGAAACCCAAGGGGTTTAGCATCACAGGCCCAAGGGGAGTTAAGAGATGTAAAATCGGTGCATCATGTGTTCCTTGGGCTTCTAGGTAGGAACGTATGATCGTATGATGCATTCCTTGCGACTCAAAGAGTAAACATATTATAGCATAAAAACAGTTAAGATAATTTCACTGGGTCTGTACTATGCAACTCATTATGTTGAATAAATACTTCTCATTCACTCACTCTTTTATCTTTATATACACACACTCACTCACAAATGCCCATTATAGGTGTATGTGTTAAAAACACCTTATATTCTTACATTGTCACTATCAAATAATTATATCATCTGTTACCCTTCTCCTTCATCACATACTTTAAATATGACAACTCAAGAGTTTCGCTCGTGAAAACAATCATTATGTCCATTGCCAGATAATGTAGACATATTTGTATAAAAGATTGGTCCTTAGTTTTCTAGATCAGGTCTTATGACGATATGCCACCGCATTCGATCACCTAACACAGTGTTCTCCAACCTTTTTTTGGTCGTGTCCCCCCCCCCCCTCCACCCCTGAGTATATGGTATATGACTAGATTCCCAACTCCTCAAACCCCCAAGAATATGGCAAGACCCCCAGGTCCCTCTTGAGTTTACTGCAAGACTCTCCCTCCCCTCCCCTCCCTCCTCCCCCAGCGACATTTTTTTTTAATTACAAAGAGGACAATAAATTCGGCAACAAGATCTTTAACGACAGATGCACAAAATACTCATTAAAACAAAAATGTCCTTGTCATTTTGTCTAACATTTTCAGGACCTCATTTTTTTCTGGGGTTCGGACAGCATTAATTTATCAACAGACTTTTTTTACTGCAACATAACAAAGCTAAAACCTTCCTGAAGAAAAATTACTGGCTGTATAGAGACAGATAATACATCAGATTAAAGAGAAATAAATGCAGAATAAATCTAAACTATTTAAATGACAGTATTGAAACAAAATATTATTAAATCACAAAATATTCAAGAATGTAAGACACATATGAAGATTATTTACGTACAAAATTGTGTGCTGACCTTACGTTTTACTTGTTTAGCAACATTGCTTTCCATTTCTAAGACTTCATATGCCTTCTCTGCTCAGTTATTTATCACCTAGTCTTTACTTGAAACAATTATTTTAAATACTTTGGATGTTATGACCATTTTTGTATGACATGTCAGATGTCACAACAACCGAAATTGGAAAAACAGCTGATCCTGAAACATAAACGATCCGACTGAAATATTTTGTTCTTTCTTTATCCTAACCTATTTATTGACACAGGTTGGCACAAGCATTATCAATCATAATATCCAGATTTTTTCACTATCTGGATGAGATTCAACAACAACAGAGCAGTATGAACAGTTCTAGACCTTTTCCCTCATCATTTGGTATAGAAAAATCCCGTAAAAATTGTATCACATCTAAATAATGTTTTTTTAAATCAGTAACTAATGCAATTAAAACACTGAACATTGCAAACAAAAGGACTTCCTTTCGCTTTTCCTAGTTTTTCAAAACATATTCAGAAAAATATGTTTTTCCCACAAACGGAACAAAATTAGAGTGTCTCTATGAAGTTCCAGTAAACTGGTCAATAGTCCGATTGGGATAAATTCAAACGCCAGTCAACTAGTGAATAGTCCATAAAGAGTTAATAAATAGTTTAAAAAACATTTTATTTATAAATAAACTGAAACAAAAATGTTACGGTGCCGGATTATTACAACTACAAATGCACTCATGTTCAAAACTGCTTGACGCCCTCCCCCCTCGGGAAGGGTAACTCCCAGGTTAAAGACCAATGATCTAACATGTCTCTCAGTCTTTCTTTGTTGCATCCACCGTTGACCTTTCCAGCTGCTAAAAAAATTGCTGTGCCCTCTCTGCAATAAAGACTGGCTACAGTGTACCTACTGTTGTCTTTAGGAATATTATGTGATGAGGTCCCAATCTCTTCCACAGTGCAACTCTCATACTACTGTTCGAAAACCATGGGAACAGATTTATGTTGTAAATAACCTCCTCCCCTCACCCCCCGCAAAAACGAACCCTAGCACTTAAAGATCATTAAATTATTAAACGCATTCACTAGCCTCTGGCCCACAAGGCTGCATTTTCTTCAACGATTATCTTCTTATCACACAAGACCAAGGAATCCTGGTTGTCTGTTTCTTGTAGTTGCAAATCATTTTATGTTCATTAGCTTCTTTTTCCCTCAGGCAGTCATTCTTCCTTACTCAGATATTCACAATATTCCTGTAAAAAAACACACGTCTGCTGTCTCCAAGCTATTTTTTTAATTTGTTTGTTCAGGCTGCAAGATTCTCTGCTGGCATATTAGCAGGTCTGCTATATAATTTTAGCACTCGCTTTCTGACTTCATGTGTTGGTTCCGGGGCCCTATTCTGGGTGAAGAACAAAGAGAACAGACGCACTGCCTCTCTTATAAGCATGTTGTAAAAGCAACTAAATAGGGATTAATATCTGCGCCTAGTGGCTTAACACATCTGATTTCAGCAAACCCATAATTCGCTGCCTTCTATGACATGATTGCTAAGGGACAGAGGGTCAATTCCCCCCCCCCCCCCCCATTCCCTTTCCCTCACAAGATTGGGGCCCCCGGAACCCTCACTGGGTAATTATTCAACTTGTATCCTAAACTCAACATTTTATCATTATATGTTTGGTTATTTTGTATCCAGAAACCCTCAGGCTCGGTACTGTGGATATCGCAACCCTTCGGCCTTGATTCCATGATAGGTACCGTAAATCTATGAGAAATGTGGCTTTTCTGCCTACCCCCGGGCATGAACCCTGAACACAAGAAGTTCGTCCCCGGGTTACAGCGAAGTCAGCTTTAACCAACTACGCTAACGAGCTGGGCATTGTATATGTTAAAACAATATATATTATTTGTATATAAATCAAGAATTCCAGGTCGATCATCCTAAAATGGGTATCAAAAACATTCCTAAGAAGTAAAGGTGACTGGCCTGATACCGGCCACCTCATTCATCAATTGTTGATTGGTGTATACCAATGTGAAGCTAGAAGGATTTGCCCAATAATCTCAAAGTGTGAAAATGAGGTCTTGACCATTTGTTGATATGTATAATACAAAATGAAACTGTCAGATAATGAAAATCGTAAGCAGTTAGCAACATTTTCTCAGCAACCATCTAGCTTTTTCACAAAATGACTGTTCGGTGTCATATGAAATAATTTATTTAAAGAAAAAGGAACTCATTTGAAAAACGGAACTCTTTCTAAAAGAGCTCGCAGTATACTCCCAGGGACTTTCTGATTCTTGGCAATGAGATCCTCAACGCTTGCTTGTACCTGAAAGACACAGGTAAGTCTTGAGCACACAACTCTAATGCTACCAATATCTTATTAATGTAAGTAAAGTAAAGTAAAGTATAGGACCCTTTTCCACACCTTTAGGCGTATAGGGCACATAGGGCTAGAGATAGATTTTTATAGACCAATTGGCACAGGAGGGTGATGTGTTCAGCATCACACCGGCCGCCTTTACTTCCCCGGATTGCACCCGGTACCCACTCAAGGCTGGGTCGACCTGGGAGCCAAGGTCATTTTTGAAAATTGGGTACCGCCAGGGAGCGAACCCACTACCTTCCAATTCGCGGCGAGTGTCTAGCCGCTTGGCCAAGACGACTCCCCTTATTAATGTACATTATCATTATTTCCCATTTTTGCCAATAGTTTCATGGGCAGAAATAATTGGTGGTTGAGAATTTGACAGGTGGGACTGTCAATCCATGTAATCTTAACTTCAGACAAAAATATTGCTATGAAAAAAAAAATGCTTAACTCTACCAGACTGCTGGCCCACTATTGCGGGAATTTCCGAATCTGTCGCTAAACCGCTGTCCCTCAATGTCGGGAATTTGGGTCCTACATGAAAACAATGCGTCACAAACTAAAAATAACTAGCCAATCGTAATCAGAACTCATGGATAGTCATTCTAGATGTCTGCCCGCATGTGTTTGGATTAAATTTGTGTTCTTTTACGCGAAAAAATTCTGAAAATTCACACGGTTGAAGAGACACATTCGGTGAGAGCTCGAATGATGAGGAGAATCTTAAAAATGATAAATCTAGAAATAGATCGAAAGTAAGAGAAGGGGGCGTGTCCCTCAAACAACAACATCTGATGTTCACTTTGTGAAACAAGGCTGATCCTGAGTGGATTGGCACACAAAGGTGGAATATTGGTGCTAGATAAGAGGTAAGCCTATTTTCTACAATGTCTCTAAGTTTTATCTTATTCTAACCACTTGTTTGCGTGTAACTAATATTTGTATATCATGTTGGTTTTTTCGCGTTAATGCTCAGGTATAGGGGGCAGTTAGGTTCAGGGCCTCAGGTCTGATAGGGTTAATGGTGATTATATGAAGCTAAATAATAAAGGAAAATGTAAATTTTTCCTTTGTCATGATATAAGTTTTTAGATAACCGTGTGCAGGTGAAGCAGAATAAGTAACATTTCTATTCATGAATTTTTCTCAGCTGGTTTTAAACTTTATATTTTAAAGTGAATATTCTTTTTTATTTTATTTTTTAACTGTATAAGTATTAACAGAGCTCTTCTTCCTCTAATTCTTCGAGTCTACCGGACGTACACTCTGGTGGAAATTTCGTCTTGTTCATCCACTTTTGGATTATAGTTTTGTTCCAGAACCTCAAAACATATAAGCTCTCTAAGACTGCTGTGTAACAATTGTTATTGAGTAGATTTATACACAAATTGAACTACAGTTTAATTAATTTGCAACATGTTATTGAATGAATTTACATGTGACTGAGGCCCTGTTAGGGTATATTTTCAGCCTCGATAATTTAGGACCGTTATTCGGAAGATAGCCAAATATTTGCTACAGCCCATTTATTTATCTTAAAAATAATAATTCATTCAAAAACACATTTGGCAACCCCTGTGTGGGTTCCGGGGCCCCATTGTGGGGAAAACAAGAATAGACCCACTGCCTCCCCAAAAACATGTTGTAAGAGTCAACTAATTGGGGAGCTTCCTTTGAAGACGGAGTGCGTCTGCCGGAGAGGCAAGGAACCAACAGTCTGTATTCAAGAGAATGAGATCTGTAAAACTGATGCACACGCAACACTCAGGTTCTGGAGCAGGACTGCAGTTCAGTAGTAGACGAGCAACCAGAACCTTCCGCCAGAGTTTACAGCTGGTGAACGCGAAGAAGAAGAAGAAGACAATTGGCAAATTAATTAAACTGTAGTCCAATGTGTGTATAAATCTACTCGATAACAATTGTTACCACCAACCGGCCACTCCAGCCTCACAAAAATGGGAATTCCCATTTGAGCTGTACGACCTTATATCTGGAGCTGGCTGTGGTTTTAATAAGACTTGTTCAGCAATGCAGAGGCTAAACAGCATGCGGAACCTATGCCATAGCACCTGCAAGTGAGTTAAAGCGAACATTCTAAGATCATGATTTTACTCGTGACAACCTATGGTTGTGAGTAGGGCACTCCCACCCAGTTTTAACAAAGAAAATATGAGCACCTGAACCGAAATGCTACAGAAAGGTTCTTAGAATACCATAAACCAGAAACAAGAAAAACGTTGACATCCTGCATGACCATCAAGAAGAACTGGCTCGTAAACAGCATCCTCTCTCTCAAAGGCTGAGGTTTTTTTTTTGCACATGTCAAGTGGCATGGTGGTCTGGAGAGAACAGTGATGGAGGCTGCAGTTTCCGGAAAACAAGGCCCAGGCCAACCTCCACAAATGTGGATACAGTACTTTGAAAAAGCAACACTGGCTATGAAAGCACACAGTGATGGAGATTTGGCTAGAGAAAGAGATACTTACAAAGGCATGCCATGAAGACAGCAAGGTTCTGTAAAGGACATGCTGATTGATAATAATGATAGCTTTAATATGGCCCAAATATTTCACTTGCTCCTGATACAGTTCCTTTGGCAACTCAGTTTTCATCTGATTTTTTTGTTTCCATAAAATACAATCTGTATATTCACAAAATATTATTCTGTTATTGCAAAAGGTAAAGCAAATAGAAAATTTTAAAATATAATAAACTTCATGTATAGCAGGAAATAAAAGACAACATTTTAAAGCAACCACCTTCCCTATAGCAACATATAGATGTGAGTCGTGGGCTGTCTCACAGTCAATAAGGAAGAACATGGGGCTTTTGAGCTGACATAATAGCAGAAGGCATGGGACACAGGAAAGAGGGTCAGGGGCTGACCAGCATGAACATGGGCACAGGAAATAAGTGACACACTAGCTATGAAAGTGCACATGGTGGGAGAACTGGCAAGAGACTGAGCTTCCTTTAGGCAGACCGTAATGTGAACGACATTCTGCACAGGACCTGCTAAATTATGATGAAATATCGCAAGCAGATTTGGTGACAAGTAAACATTCCAATTAAACAAAGAAATTAAACTGTACGCTATGATACTACAATACAAACAAAAAAAAAAGAATCCTGGTAATACGCATATTTTCCTTTTGCCAATGATAACAGAAGATTAAAATCCCCACTGATGTGGATTTTAAAAATTACCTTCCAGGTCGACCTAGCTTAAAAATAGGTACCAGAAAATGTTCTGAATAAAAAGGCAGCAGGCATAATATTGTCCATAACATGCAATATGCTATAAGAATAAGGGGCTAGTATCATGTGATAACACACCAAGTAAGCCATTAAAAAAAATATACAAATAGCAGACACAATACCCACTTTTGCCGCCAGCTCTTCTGCAGACATCAAATGACTAGGGTAGATTGGCTCACCAAGCACAGTTCTGAAATGGAAACATTTTCCTATTGCATTTTCAGATTTAATTTTTTTTTTTTATGTTTAAATTTAAAAGAAACAAAATGCACACAAAGACACACACAACAGATTTAATTGCCTAGCTTCACCTGGGATAGTGAAAGAAAGTCTTATTCTCCCGTCCTCTACCTCATCTTGATCTCCACCGCTGCTCTATATGTAGGCCTAGTGGAAATAGGGGTCTAACTAAAACCCTATATTTAATATCCTTCTATTTCATCTCTGTCTCCACTGCTGCCGTATCTTTAGTCATTGTTCCTAGGTGCACCCGAGGCATCCTCTGCTTTACTAACAACAGTATTTAACAATCTGGGAGACACACAAACGTACTGTTTGGGACACACATAGATATTTTGTTTCAACTGAGGTAGTAAAATATAATTTTCAAAAATTAAATTTTCTTGAGAATCAGCTGTACACAAATGCCGTGATTGTAACTGACTCACAGAGCATGCTGAGAAAGGGGAAAACAGGTATGCTTCGTGCAAAGTGGCAAGCATCCTTTGGATATTTTCTCCAGGCCATGCCGGTGTGTTGGGAATTGAGCAGGCAGACAGACTGGCTTGCTCTGCACCACTTAGTGGTGAACTGATGTATGACAAGTTAGATATTGTGAGGGCCATTTGGGAACGGGTGAACAGTGTGGAGGCGCAGACAGATCATTACGGTCTGAGGAGTTAACTAGGGCAACTGGCCGATGCTCAACACTCAGAGGAAGGATGAGAAGGATATACAATCAGACAGTTTCTGGTACCATCAGAAATGGAATTCTTCGCTTGCTGCTGAAGATGGGGACTGAGCACTTATATGGGAGTGTCCTGGGTGCTGTGATGTTGATTCCTTATTCAACATGTAACATTCATTGTGTTGATGGGGATGATAATTGCATGAAAGTGACTTGTGCAAGAACTTGGATTTAAGTGAGAAAGAGTTGCGCCATTCCTCAACCTCACTCTCAAGCCTGTGTTCATCTTGATCCAATGGCGGGGGATTTAGAGGGATATAACTCCAGTGAAAGTTTACTTTGACTAATTTTTGCAATAAATAAATAAATGCACAATAACCTGGGCTGTCAATATGACTATTAAATAAAACACTGTAGTCATAATGGCAAATGAAAATTTTACCAGTATACTCGTCATGGTTTGGGAGGAGTTAACACTTTATTTTTAATAAACACATGAAATACATAAAGTGTTTGTGATTTATAGTAAATTTATAAATATATATATATAATCATTATAAATATTTATGCCAATGTTTTTGTTTAACTAGACCAAAGATAAGCACACTCAGACAGGAAAGACAATCACTTAAACATATTACTAAATAATGTTAAGGAACAGATTGCATATTTAATCTCCAACAGACATTAAGACACAAATCATAAAGAAAATGAGAGCTAGAATCCTGTTCTGCAAAATCAAATTTCATACCTCAATTTTACTGGGAAAAATCCATAAATGGGCATGATGGGTAACCTAGTTTTTTCATAAAATTCTCGCAGCCATGCTGAAATACATAAAATAAAATATGTTAATTATTTTGTGTGTGTGTGTGTACGTTTGAAATCCTCAGTATGACTAATTAAAGATTAGACGAAATGATTTAGTCAAAAGATCACAAAGAGCCACAGTGAACAAATATAATGAGTGCTAAGCAAGGAACAGACAATGCCAAAGGTAGGGCAATGGCATCAAGAACAACCTTAGAGAAATGCTGACCTACTTACACAGATAATTAGCAAAAGTATACAAAATTATCTTTACCTCTCGCCAACACTTTAGATCAGGAATTGAAGAATAAAAATGAAGTGGAGGAAGAAGAACAAGAAAACAAGAAGATAAATGTGAATAGTTGTTGGTCGAGTTTCCAACTTCACTGCAGATGGGTTGTCCCCCCTAACTGAGTGCCAGCAGAAATCACACAAAATGTCCCTCATTGCTCGTTTGAAAACAAGTTACAAATATTGAGTCCCAGCAAAATCATGAAGCTCGCACATGCAAGGTAAATGCATAAGGCAGCTGCCATATGTGCCAACACTAACAGTCCCACACTAGAATTGTAGCTCACTGCTGATGCAAGCAGTCAGTTACGACTGCTAAATTGTACATGCAATACTGCATAAGTACATGCCATTCAATAATCGACCACCCACAATATTTTGCACAGCTTACAACACAGAAATAAACATTTCACCATTTCGCATGCAGTCCACAATCCTGCATTTGTTGTATTTGTGACATTTAAAGCTGAAGGCATGCTGCAAGAGATAAGACAAAAATCTGAGCAAGCAAGAGATAGACAGAAATATATGTAGGAAGTTAACATCAATAGATATAGAAAGGTTCTTGGAATGAGAGGTGAAGGACCAGATATGCCTCAGACATTCACAGCTATAAGCAGATGTGCTATCCACTCAACCGCAAAAATCAACAACAGGTGACAAAAGGACAAACATATCATTAACTTCTATGACAGATGTTAAAGTATAACCCAGGAAAGAATGGGTTAAATTAGTGACAGTCCAGGACAGAAAGAATTAACTTATGACTTTCAAGGTAAATAAATGAGATACCTCTGGCCCAGCCTGGTGTTCTGAAAGCCTCTCTTATATTTACTGTAAACATCGGGATGATTGGCTGGAGACAAATGAACACATCAACTGAACTTATGAAAACTGGAAAACAATCTGGCACAGACTGAGGCAAAATTTCTAATATACAAAACTGCAAACTACAGTGCTAGCACACTTGTCTACAGGTTTAGTAGGTTCAAATCTCAATAAGGGCAGATTTATTAAAATTGATATGGGTTCCTCTTATGTTAACCCAGCCTAAAATAAGAACAAGGTAATATCTTGGGAAGTAAAAGCAGATGGCTTAATTAATATTAACAAAATCATATACTGTGTGTAGATTGATCCTTGAAAATGAGACTAGCATCTTATATCCAAAACAACCCAAGGTGTGGAAATTATACCTTTACTTTTACTTACTAAATAATTTAGACAATGATTATGTAATGTTATTAGATGTTAGTTCACTGCGAAAATGAATGGACATTGCTTTGGAACAAAGTCTAGCACATGATACTATAAAATATAGTTTGAGAATGGAGGTTGAGACAGGCAAAGCAGCTTTCCACCGACTTAAGAACCAGCTGCATAGACAGGTTGGGATTGTAACTGACTCATAATACATGCTAAGTAAGGCTGGGACAGGCAAGCTCTGTGCAGAGTGGCAAGCATTGCTTCAAAGGTCCGGTGTAGTTGGAACTTTTGGATTTGTCTCTGAGGTAATCAGACGTGCTGAGAAATGAACAGGTGCACAGAATGGTTGGTTTTGCACACTGGGGAGTGATTGGATGATAGACAAGCTAAATGTGGTCAGGACCCCAAATGAATATGTGAAAAATATGGAGGCATGGATAGATGTCTAAGATCTGGAGAGAATGGTGCAGCCAGGAATAGCCAGGGGATTTAGTCATCACTCTACACTCAGAGAAAAGTTAAAGAGGATACATTTAAAAAAAGCACTACTGGCACCAATGGAGTTGGAACTTTTTACCAGCTGCTGAGATGATGATGGAATGCTTGGGGGAATGCTCTGCATGCCCTGCTATTTCAGTTTATAACTCAACTCCGAGAGACGCTGTGGTGTCACAAGCAGATCAGAAGGTTGTTTGCGTTCTGGCAGAGCCTTGAGTGGGTTCCAGGTACAGTCCTGGCAAATAAAGGTAGCCAGCATGATACTGACCACATCACCCACCCAGCGCTGATTGGTCTATAAAAATATATGTCTAGCCCTATATGCCCAATACATCTAAAGGCATGAGAAAGGGTCCTTTACTTTACTTACTCAACTAAACTGATGGGATGTTGTTAATATATTAGGGATCAGGCTTGCAAGCATTTATGTGTAGCTGGTTTTATTTCACACTCTGAAAAACACAACAGTTGCATTGTGTTTATTTTCTTCTTCTTCTTCTTTCGTTCGCATGAAATAAATTATCTATATCTGCAATGCTGTCTCTAGTATGAATTTCACTGTCTTTTGTAATTCACTAAGTGGCCCGTAAAGTTTGACTTTCACAAGTGTCTCTTTTGGCCAGAAGTTTTGCCTGGAAGCGTTGAATCTGGGACAGTCTTGGAGGATATGATCTGTTGTCTCGGGTGCCAGTCCACAGGTACACATGGCTGATTGGCCAATCTTAAATTTGTTGTACATGTGGCAGCGAAGTCGATTGTGCCCTGTTCTAAAGCGATGGATAATGACTTGCTCTGGTCTGTCCATAATATCATAATCGTCTTGTGCCAGTTTCGGTGGCATTCTGATTGATTTGATTATTCTCTTCTTCTGTTGATAAGAGACTGGTATGTCGGGTTGTTCTTCAGTTGTGCCTTCCTTGGCTAGTTTATGGGAACTCCACAGTGGCAAGGTATCCACTGCATTAATAAATTACAACAATTGCCTAGTTCGGATAATAGTGTCCGTATGCTTGGTAATTTTCCAGACTGGAGTGCCTGAACTACTGCTTTTGCATCTGTCAGGAATACCACTGGTTATGAAAAATACCCCGTATTTAGTAGTTTATCTACCGCTATCTCAATGGCTTGAACTTCTGCATCATAGTTGTGACAGTGCTTTCCTGTTGGTATTTTGGCTGTATCCCTGGTATTATTAGGATACTCAATAAGAGAGAGCAGCACACTGCCAAGGGGAAATTTTAAGAAGGCATACTGGAAGTTATACCAGCTCCGCACAAATGTTCTGCTGGAAAATCTGAACACAGATAACGACAACGTAGAAAATGTAGTCAAAGAGTTGAGCAAACGCAATTTGCAGGCAGCCCTAGAAGCGGTTCCAAGAAGTGCGCGTAAACAATATAAACCGTACTGGAACTGCGAATTCAAGAAACAATAATTGTGCCTTCCATCAAGTACATTAAAATATTCAAATCATAAACAAAAATTATTGAAAAATGGAATAAAGCCATAAAGCATAGATAATGCAGAAAAAAAAATAACAAGAAAACTTCAAATGGCATAGGAAAGGGGAAAGAGGTGAGTCATTAGGGGTGCTGCCACAAAGAAATCATCAGGGAGGGGAGGGGCCCTCAGCCAGCCTACAATTTTCTAGAAGGCCTAAAGGGATTCAATCTTATTTAAGTGTGCCATAAAAATAATTAGAATTTATTATTATTATGTTCTCGATTGCAAATTAATAATAGTATATTTGAAATAATATTAAATATATAAAGAAATCTTAAAATGAGAGTATCTATCCATGGTTGGGAGCAGCAATAGCCCTGCTGCAAATTTTTTAGGGAAAGGGAGAGGAGAAAGCACAAGGTGCCTGCTTCCATGTTACGGTGCCCCTATGTGTCATACTGTATAAATCGTTGTTGCATGTGTGTTTGTGAGGGACAGTATGCAGAAAGTGTATCCATTTTAACTTTGCATGATCACACATACACTGCTACCTCCTAACTGATATATTGTTGGTCAATCTCAGTCACCCCCCCCCCCCCCCCCACCTTGTGGGATGCAATTTTTTGTTATTTTGAGGCCCCCACTGTGGCTATTTCCAGGGGCTGCATTATAACCTTACAGTTGAATACGGTTTCCGGGGCCTCTCCCCGAGTGATCCTCATCTGCAGGTGGCACTTTGTGCCACCGGGTGTTTATTGATCTGTGTGATGTCCTGGAGGGGTTAAATTTACTTACTTACTATACTGTTGGTATGCTGAATTTAGAACATGTGTGAAAACCGGACACAATCAACATATTCCCCTTACCACATTTGCCTGCATGGCAACTTTTGCAAAACCCACTCTGTTATTCCACATCAGTGTGTAGTTCTCATTACTAAACAAAGCTTCCCTGACTCCACCTAATGAAGACAATTACAATTCTAATTATAAATGCATACATGTAATTATAACACAAATTTAAGCCAATACATAACACATCCATATTTTAAAAATACTACAGGAAATGAATTAATACCTGATGCGGTAAAGCAAAGCAAGTATTGGGACAGCTAGCACCTTTATTACAGCATAAGTCAATCACTATCAGCACAAAGAAAAATCTTATACAATGTATATTTATTCTCACCCTATGAGTGCCAGTTGGTCTACAAAACACAGGTTCAGCTGCATTTGCCAAATATGCTGAAGGCATGGGAAAGAGTTCATTACTTTTTTTAAAACTCTTACCCTATGCTACCAGTGCCGGACAAGGTCTTTTTCTTCTATTCTCTATTTTTTTAATGCTTTGCAGCACTAGGGCAAGATCACAAACACTGAGGTAGCGGAAACAGCTGGTACTACTGCAGTTTTCACAGTGCTCGGCCTACGAAGGCTCAGGTGGCTGGGTCATAATCTAAAGAATGGAGGATGGCAGAGACCTGAGAACATCCTCTCTGGTGAATTACAGACGGGTAGAAGATGTCAAGGCCAGCCTCTATTATTATATAAAGATATGTGCAAGAGGAACATGAATGAAACAGGTACCGAGGTATACTCGTTGAAACAAAATGCTACAGACCCTGTTGCGTGGAGTGGCACATCAGGAGGGGAATGAGAATAAAGGAAGAAGTTATTGCAGAAGGGATGAAAGCTAAGCGTCGGAGAAGAAACACACCAAACACAAATGATGGCAACAGCGGTCCTGAAATTCTATGCTGTAATTGGGGACGGTTTTTCTGAACGCGGGTGGGTTTTGCTAGTCACACTTGCCATCGCTATGGGCTCTGAGTCCCATGTCTCCTCATAGCACAATTTAACACTATCGTTTACAATTTTTAAAAAAATATTGAATCATCAGGTTCTATCCTAATATCTCTCTCCCCCTCTCCTCACCCCCCCCCCCCCCACCAACAGACAGTCAAATAGTTTAGGGGGTGGAAAATAGGCTGCATGCAGTTGTGGAACCTAGGCAGGTTGTGGTTAGGCCCAGTTCTAGATGTTTTGGGGTAGTTAAAGGCATCAGAAAGCCGGGAAACTCGCTCTTACCACCCTTGAAAATACTGGACTGTCCTGTGATGTCATCCTGGGGGAAAAGGGGGGGGGGGGGTTGGAGGGAGAGATATTGGAAAAGCACCCATTATCAACCCAGGCATAAGAATCTACTATTACATGTTTAGTTTCCAGATCTGCCTTTCTACCGCCTGACTCTCTGCATTCTCTTGCAAGTGTGATGATGGTCACAAAGATAAAGACTGAACATGTATCAAATCTACTTTAGGGAGCTGCAATAGTGTGGTGGCTTTCCAACATGTCTACTGACAAGTTTGCCATATGTTCAAACCCCACCAGTGTTATTTTAAATCGATGACCCCAGGTCAACCCACACAGTACCAGAAAATACTATGTTAAATAAAGATGGCTAGAATGTACTGACCACATCACCTGCGTGCCTTTTTCCCACAAAAACATGAGGCCCTGCATCAAATATTTAATCAACCACAAGATGTGGAAACAAGTACCCTGCATTTGTTTTTTTGTTTTTTTAAATATCTATTTCGCAGTTTTGGCCTTTTCTAACAGCTGGGAAAATTCTGAAGAGTAAGACAACAACAAAACATACATGCCTGGTGATATCCCCAATAAGTTTCCATTTTTTAAAACATCAATACAACTAGATATTGTTCCTGGAGCCACACGACACACCTCCATTAGAGTTTGAAAACCTGCAATGAATTATAGTTTTATACTCAATGACCAAAAATATATATAGAAAAAGTACTCGAATTTAGATGTTTTTGGAGTAATGTTTTTCTATCTACTAGACATAGGAAAAGCACTGGAACTGAGATCTTTTCCCAATCATGATTTCGTTATTTACTAAAAATAGAAAAAACACTTAAAATGAGATCTTTTTTTTTAGAATAATGTTTTTATATCTACTGTATAATGAAAAAGCACTGGAAATTAGATTTTTTTTTGTTTGATTGGGAATAATGTTTTTCTCTCTACTACATACAGCAGAAGCATTGGAATTGAGATCTTTTTGAAATAATGTTTTTCTATCTACTACATACAGCAGAAGCATTGGAATTGAGATCTTTTTGAAATAATGTTTTTCTATCTACTATATAGTGAAAAAGCAATGAAACAGAGATCTTTTTGGAAAAATGTTTTTCTATCTACTGCATACAGAAAAAGTATTAGAGTTGGGATATTTTTTGGAATAATGTTTTTCTATCTACTACATGCAGAAACATAGAGACATATATTTGTGCTCCATAGATTATGCCAAAGCTTTTGATAAAGTGAAACATGATGAAATGATAAAATTGTTCGAGGATATTAACACTGATGGAACAGATCTCAGAATAATAAAAAATATTTACTGGAAGCAAGAAGCAGCAATTAAACTGGGAAATTAAGTAGGCAGTTATGAACAGATAAAGCAAGGAGTGAGACAAGGATGTGTTTTGTCTCCGGATCTTTTCTCTCTCTATAGTGAAATAATAATGAGGGAGGTCAAAGATAGACCAGGAATACTAGTTGGAGGTTACAATATAAACAATCTTCAATCTTCGTTATGAAGACGATACAGTACTGATAGCTGAAAACTCAGAAGATCTGCAACAACTATTAGACACTGGGGTCCTAGACAGTGCAAAAAAGAACTCTCCTTGAATATCAAGAAAACAGAAACAATGATTATATCAAAGAAGAAGATAACTTTAAAATGTGACATAGCAATAGCAGGGAAAGTGCTTAACCAAGTCAAAAAGTTCAAGTGTTTGGAAACATTTATAACATCAGATGGACCACGTGTGACAGAAATTAAGAGCAGAACTGGCCAGACAAAGGTAGCTTTTGAGAAGATGAAAAGTATTTTATGTAATAAATCACTCTCAGTAAACATCAGAAAACGAATATTGAAATTTTTATATCGAGCCTGTTCTGTTCTATGGTAGTGAATCTTGGAATGTTAGCAAACAAATTAAGAAGAGTTTCAGAAAAATGTTGAGAATAGTTTGGACTGCCAGAATAACCAACAATGAATAACTGGAAATTGCTGATGAAAGTAGAACATTATATACAATAATGAGAAGGAGACAAAGTTCTTTGGTCATGTAATGAGAAAAGGAGCTCTGGAAAATTTCATGACAACTAGAAAGATCACTGGTAGAAGAGGCAGAGGCAGACTGTGAGAAACGATGGTGGATAGCTTAAGACAGTGGCATGGAAGAATATCATCAGTAGAATTGATCCAGAACACCAAAGACCAAGATCTGTGGCGACGCATGAACGCCTACGCCAGCTGCCAAGGCACTTGATGATGATGATGATGATCTACATAAAGAACAAACAATGGAAATTAGATCTTTTAGAATACTCTGGGTATATCATAGAGAGGCCAACCACATAGTAAGTGTTGAAGTTCACTGAATCATTTCCAGTATCATCAACTAACACACTGGCAACCATGGGCCTCTTTAACAACAGTGAAAAGACATGCAACGCAGTGGCACAGACATGTAATAAGATCTATCGGCCTCTGCTGAAATAACACTATAGGAGGCTCAGAGGGGAAGAGGAGAATAGGCAGACTAAGAAAGACCTGGATACAGAGCTTGGCTGAATGGACAGGTATCAAACAAACAAACATGAAGTTCACTGCATCTGATCAACAGAGGTGGAGGGAGCTGATCAGACAATCAGCAGCAACTGGTAACTCAATGACACGGAGTGTTATGTTATGGGAGTATGATGATAATGACATAAAGGGCAGGTTATTTAGTAACCTCCTTCCTCGAATCCACAATCATACTGGTCTATGTTTCTCTCATTTTATTCTGTTTTAAAATGTTTTAAAAATAAAAAATTAAAAGAATTAAAAAAAAAAAAAGTTTTCAATATCACATCATTCAGAATTTAGGCAGTGACAGTTTTTCTATGACCAGAGATTAATATGCCCTGAAATATTATTATAACTGCCTCATACATGCATGCTTTGGAAGAAAAAAAAAGGTGCTGTTTACGTTTCCAGGCCCAGGATCAGAGTAACTTCCCTAGCCATTCATGCCTCCTTAAGTCACTGGACCTCTCATATGTTGCGGAGGAGTCATGTTTTCCTTATTGTGAATGGTTTAACTGTTGCCTGTTTTCTCACCTTCTCACAACTCGCTTACATGATTATTTTCACATTCTACTACCTGCACGATGGTTCGGGAGTATAGAAACAGCAATATTTTTATATTCATATGCTCCTTCTAACTGCTTTCTTTCTCTCTGGAGTTGGGGGGGGGGGGGGGGGGGGGGCTACCAGCAACAAACGTGGAAATACAAAAACATCCCAGTTTTAATAGCCATCTGAATGGGCCTGACTAATTACTTTTTGACCAGAAACACAGAAAGCTAGCATATAAAACAGAAATTTCCCCCCATCCTTTGAATGAGTCTGACTAACTAATTTCTGACTATAAACACACAAACCTGGAATGTGAAACAGGAATTTGTCCCCCACCATGTGAACATGCCTGCCCTTCTCAAGGAGAACTGCAGTGACAACATAGTAGAAGTCGACGGGTATAACACCATGATAGTATATGATCAGTGCAGGACCAGTGGTTGGAATGTTGTCAATACCTTCAACCTCATAACCTAAATATGACAGGGTAAAAATTATTGGGGGGAAAAAACTTCAAAAAATTACAGAGAGAAAAACATAATAAAAAGATGGGTTTGATGACATTTAGTAATTAATATTACTTTTTAGCAACCTTTTAGTGATGTAGCTCTTTGACCTGGCTGGCAGCTGGTCTAGGAGGGAAAGTCCGACATTAGGACAGACAAACATTGTTTATGAAAACATTGCTTTTCTTATCTGGCAGCTTCTGCAGCATGCTTTGTTCCAAACCTACTGGGGTTACCTTTCCTTTGGAGTTATGTTTATTCGAGGGATCAACATCATGGCACATGGGTGTAACCCATAAGTACTCTGTTCTACTTCTAACTCAAGCCTGTCTGAAGAATCTCAGTGCAGTGCACGAACTCTGTTGCACTGGAGAGGATCCTGAAATGCTTTGAGTAGATTTTTAACTTCAAATTTTACCTACTCTGTATTTTTACTCATTTGGAGTAAACAAAGCAGGCTAAAAGAAGGATCATGATGCATGGGCAACATATGGTCTCTACAATACTGCCCAGGCTTTGTGCTATGGATAGGAGGAACTTCATTCCAATGTCTCCCCAAAGCACAATACAACACTATCATCTGGAAAGGCATAAAGGTGACAGCAACGACAATAAAGCGGCATGGACAACATTATGCCAGCTATCTTTATTTCCCATGACATTTCTTGGTCTTAGGTTGGGTAAAACTGGGAACCCTAGAATCTAGGGCTGGGTCAATATGGCAGATTTCTTTGAACCAGGGACCTTAGGGTTTCAGACAAGCATAGTGCCACTGCAGCTTGCGACATTGTAAGTGGAAGATGTTTAATCTCAACTCTTACTAGAAAATCGTGGTCAATGTTAACAAAACAAAAAAACAATTAACAGTATTTACAATGAATATAAAGTATTCTTCTCTCTTTAGTTCCTGCTGTGTAGCAATGGTAATCACGTCTGTCCACAGCCTTCTGTCTCGCATACTTTAAATCAATTTTCAATTCATATGTTCTTTAATATACTTTACTTACTTAGTCACTCCTCTTCTAATTTGAGGTGTAGAGGTTTGCCAGAGAAATCGCCATACTTCTCTATCAGCAGTTTTCTTCCTGGCTTTGTTCCATTCCAGTCTGTCAGTCAGGGACTGTCGGAAGTTGTCTTCGCAGCGGACCCTAAGTGACCCTGGAGGTCTGGTTTCCTGTTCTTTAATATTATGATACCAAACATTCTCTTTCTTGATCCATCTGCCTCTCTTACACTCCAACGTTTCTTTTAGGAATTCTGACGACTGCATTATGTATCTGATGCATGTGGATGCTATTAGCTTTGCGGAGACTGCAGTCTCTGTCCATTGTTTACTCAAGGGACAGTGATGGAGATTCTGTGTGGTTTTCGTTGGCACAGGAACACAGCAACTGTGTGGTAACCCATATGCTGTGAAGTTCCAACTGTGACCACCTGCTTACCTTTCCTGTTGCCATGACACACTATAGAGTTTTCCACCTCATGACATGGTTTGAGTATGTGGATTTTACTTCTGATGTTGACGATCAGTATTCTTTGGAAGGTAATTTTTTTCTTTTTTAAGCATATTTATGCCTGTTAATTGTGTATCATACCATTACTGGAATTATTACTGAAAAGTGGATGGCTGAGTGGTTGTTTTTTCTTACGCCTAGCGCAAAAATTAACATCCTAACTTGCACAGTTCATGGTCATGCATCCCTAAATGCTCAGGCTCAAGAACCCTTTGTCCTCCACCACAATGTAAATAGTAACATAGACAGCAAAGACAGTTAACACCATTCTATTATACCAACTTTTATCATGTCACTAAACAAACAACAGCAAATGTTACCATGCCATATTCTTGCTTGAGCCCACCACACAGTTCCCAGGGTCTTGAGAGCACCCTCCCATAAGTTGTGATCATACGCAGCTTTCAGCTTCCCTCTGTGCTTGTAAATAAACAGCCCTAGCGACGTCAGGTAGAGGAAAAGCAGAATAAACCCAGGCAGCAGGAAAGTTATCAAGATGGGGTATACCACCCACAGCAGCCATGATATGTAGTCAATGTCTAAGGTTTTCAAGTACAGGAGAGCTGAAGATGTGGCTTCCATGAGAGACATTCTGTTGTGGTGACTGTGGCCCTTGATTACTAACTATATCCCTTGGTTACTTTATTGCTTGGTTCTGTGCTCGTACTTCTTGCATTAGTGTTTTAGCAGTATTGTTGTGTCCTGCCTCAAGACCAACACTGGCTTTTCCCATCTGCTGATTAAAAATGAAAATACAGAGAAAGCAATATTACACCAAGTTCAAGGTGTCTAGAAATTTAGTATCTAGAAAACAAAAACTTTCTTATTTGATCAAATAAATAGATAATTTTACTTTTTCAGTCTCAGATTGCTGTTACTTTATCAACACTTTCTCTCCCAAAGATTGTGTTTTTACAGTAACTTCGTTGTCTTCTGTATTCACCGGCTGTCAGCGCTTGCAGACAGTCTTGGTTGTTTTTCTATGTACAGACTTTGGTCTTGTTCCAGGATTTGAACTATAAGTTAATAACTGACAATCATTACACTCTTAGACATTACCATAGGTGCTCCATCCCTATCTTCAGCAGCAAGCACAGAGTTCCAATTCCGATTGGTACCAGACATTTTATATGCATATCCATTTTCCAACACACCAGCATTTCCTGGAGAGAAAAAATCCAAAGGATGCTAACTAACCGGGAACTAAGACTCCATGAAACCTGACTCCACCTTGAAGGATGTGAGTGTCGCAGGCAAATCCATTGTTCAGTTCTAGCTTATCTGCATGCAGACTGTTGTCTCCTCACTTTTCAGGCAGATGCAGTCTGTCTTTGAAGGAAATGTCATTCCTGTCTACACTGGCTAGACACCACCAGCAAAGAACTTGTTCTAGGTTGACCACAGAGACGTGTAGAAAAGTCTTGACCAGTTTGAACACCAAGTCTAGTGCATCTCTCCATGTGTTGGTTTACTTCTGCATTCCACTTTGCAGCAATAATCTTTGAGACTTAATGTGTTCACTCATTCAGGATCAAGAAACTCACCACACATTTGTTGGCATCAAATAACATAGCATACTTTTGATAACCCCTTGAGACCCATCCAGTTGTTACATTATACCGCTCTACCCAAATCAGCACCTTGGACTGTAGGAATACTTCTATGTTTGAAACCCCATTCATACTTTTATACTGTCACCATTACAGTCTTGGTGACTTGTCTTTGCTTATTCTTCGACACAACTCTGCTCACCTCTCAACTTTTACCACATTGACCAGCTTTTTGAAACAGCCAACTTTTATGTCCATGTCTCTTTCCATGTGTAGGATATGGCTAGACTGGGTGAATGTTTTTTTTAGTATTCTGCCGTTTTTTTTTTTTTTACAGCATAACACTTACCAGCCCATGTTCTATGAGAAGTAAGACTTGTGTCAGGACCAAATGACTGTGAATCTACAATTATGACCAGACTGCAAGAGCAACAAGTTTAAGTGTAGCCAGACAAGAACACTATGCAGGAAGCCAAAAAAGAATAAGAAACCAACAAAGAACTGGTGTTGTCAGCCACTACAAGCCACGGGATTTACTGAGGAGATCCGCTCATTTATGGGCTGAATGGTTTGATATGCAGGATAATCTGTCGACTAACTAACTCTACGTACATTGTTATTTTAACTTCTCAGACCCAAACATGTCTTCATCAATATAACAACATACTAGAATCAAATGAGCTAAAGTAATGTTTGTTTGGTATTAAAGAGTTAAAATAATTCAGCTATAAGTAAGAAAGGAGTTAAAAGGAGCAATATATATAGAATGGGTTAATGTAGCAGAAGAGTGATAGACGTTGAGAAATATGTAACCATTTAGAGGGTAAACCCTTAGCTTCAATTTTTGGTAAATATAATCATAGGTCAATATAAATTCTGCAGTTATAAAAAGTACCAATCTAAAAAATTGTGTGTGTGTGTGTGTGTGAAGTCTTTCAGGGACTAGTCAAGGCAATGAAATTTTAAAAGGGGTTTTTCTGTGATTCGTAGTTGGTTATAAAACTAATATTTCAGTTTCTGAGGTTAAAGGGGTAAAAGTATTTAGACACAATGGGTTAATGTAGCAGAAGACAAACAGAAACAGTTTGGAAGTGTATAACCATGAATGGGGTAATCAGTTTTTAAAAATACAGTGAGATGCCTGGTACTAAAGAGTTAACATATCTGGTACTAAAGAGATCTGGTTAACAGACTTGAATTTAACTTTTCCTATCACAAGGTGTCCTAATTTAAAGCCAATATTTGAGTCTAAAGAAATTTACACCACATAACAGAAAGTGCTTAACTAACAAACTGGATAGTCTGAGGCAATGTAACAGCTGTTTACGATAACGGAATGTTCTGTCTTTGAACTAAGTAAAAGCCTCTGGTAGGTTTCCAAGTACAAAAAATAGTTAAAGAATAAGGTCAGAATTATCAAATATTTCAAGGATTTGCACTTAAGTCAGGGTGAAGTTGGTCAAATCTCTCTTCAATTCACCAGTGAGAAATGCAATAGTGACTGGTGTGGCAGCCAGTTGAAGCTTAAATACAGGAAATTAGCAAGGTGGCATATTTATTTATAGCATAGGCAGATTTTGATGATATTATGATAGGTAACATATGGTTCACATACCAACCCAGACAATTATTAACTTGGAGACACCTGAGATATAATGTTTGCAATAAAATGGACTAATTATTGATTCTAAAGAGATTTATAAGCAGTTTCATTAAGAGAAATGAAGCAACCTGTGATGGTGAAGTCACAAGCTAGCTTGGTTTAGGCATGTGGTGAGACATGATTGGACTGCAAGGACTGTACTTCAAGGAACACTGAGGGGCAGTCGAAGAAGACAACGGCAAAGAAGAAACTAGAACAACAAGAAATGGACAGGACTACATTATTATACACCTGTTCAACAATCGGAAGACAAAGAAAGATGGCCGGTTTTGTGTGTTACTGCTCCCATCAATACACTTCCATGACCCTAACAGGTCAAGGGTTATGTTTAGCTTAAGGTCTAACTTGAACGTGTTCCAGTAATAGGGAAGATTATATTAAAATTTGAAACTACTAAGAAGACTCCCACAGAACATATAATTAAATCTAGCATAAGGTATTAAAACATACATATAATTTTGAGAGTCATAATGCTACGGTAAGTTAGCAAGGACCCTTTTATTTACGCTAGTAGCATTTCAGGCTTAGGATGTTACACACATATTTTTAAGAGATCAACCCGCACTTGGCGAGCTAAGTCGTCAACATTACACCAGCTGCTTTTACTTTAGAACATTACCTTGCACCTATTTTAGGCTGGACCGACCGGGAAGCCAAAGCCAATGTTGAAGAAAAATAAAAGCAGATGCGATGTAGATTTGAACCCAAGACCTTCAGGCCAGTATGAACCCAATACACTACTGCAACTCTTATAATGTTAATTAATGTAGAGAAAAAATTAAATGGCAACAAACTGGTAATGAAAACCAGCTATCCTTCGAGTAATGGTCACATTTTATGGCGGCCAAAAACACACCCTAAACCCTAAAAGGGCCTCAGTCACATGTCAATTGCAGACTTCCGGCTACTACCGCCACCGCAGAGAGTATTTCCCATGCCGCTACGCGTTGGCGTGGAGCGGAGCTAAGCTAGATGGCTGGGACTCACGAGCAAATAAAATGAAGGAAGCTGCCGGAGATACGGTAGATGCTGCTCGTGAGTTCCAGCCATCTAGTTTAGCCCTGCTACGTGCGGCGTGGGAGATACTCTTCACTGTGGTGGTAGTCGCTGAAAGTCTGCAGTTTAAGTTGCCGGAAGTCCGCAACTGACATGTGACCTAGGCCCTGTTAGGGTGTGTTTTTGGCCGCCATAATATGTGCCCGTTATTCGGAGGATAGCTGGTTTTCATTACCAGTTTGTTGCCATTTTATTTGTTCCAATGGCATTATTGTAAAAGCAAGAAAGAAACATCAATAGTTGTGCAGAATTCAACAAAGCGTTAGCATTAACACAGTCAGTCAGAATGGACTAGTTCTGCATCATTCGATGGTAAATTGGAACATAACAAACTAGATGCTGTCATCAAGATCCTTTGGCAGGGAGTGAACCGTGCAGAGGGACAATCAGATTATTATGGTCTGAAGAGAATGATGGGGTGGTCATCTGGAGATCTGGTCGAAACTCCACACTCAAAGGAAAGGCAAAAGGGACATACTAACAAAGCTGGAACTCTCTGCTGGCTGCTGAAGATGGAGACAAAGTGCTTATGGGAATGTCCTGAGTGCTGTGTTGTCAGTTCTTGAATCTAAACCCACATAAACAAAGCATTCATTTTGAATAAAGTTTGCACCATAGGATGGCTAGAAAAAGTCACCACAGGCATTCAGGCAAGCATCCTTATGCGTGGGTAGGAAGCAATGCTGTCCACAAAAAAGGACTGTGGTTGCTTATTGAAACAAGTGTTTACTGAGTTTACATTACAACCTTCATTACTTCTGCATCCATGAAATGTACTGTCTCCATAAAGTCACTAACAAAAGAAGGGGTAGGATTATTGATTATGAATGCCAGCATAAGAGAGAAAGTGTAGGAATAAGACCGTATCTAAATCTAAATTATTTTGACAGACAAGGAATAAAATGGTTCAGTTCAGCCATCTAGGTGAGTATGTCAGAGCAAACTGCAAATGAACAATTGTACAGCAGAACGAAGCAGGTGGGGGACAGACAAAGACAAATATAGATACCTGATTAAATTAAATGGTATTGCTGAAACCTGCACAAAAGGCTGAACAAATGGTGTAGCTAAAACGTTCCCCCAAAAAATTGAACAAATCCAACACACAAGCGACCCAGAAAGACCAAGATGAAATAGTTAACACAAATAAAAACCAATAATCTGGGCTACATACAAAAATACATATAATTACCTTTAATTTCCTATTATATGAAATAATTATGAAAACTCGTTAAAAAAACAAAAACAGGTTGCCCCCTGATTTAGATCGTTAGCTAATAATTTCTTATGACTTACCTTACACATCTACATCTGGTCTGTCG